CAGGAGGTTAGGCGCCGGGACCAGTTCCCGCTGACTCGGGGCAGAACCATCCAGGAGAGCCGGAGCCCCGTACCGCCCCCCGCCCCGGCCGACACCCCCGAGGCCAGGACAAAAGCTCCCGCCGGTCGGAAGCGGGAGCCCCCGGCACAAGCCGTGCGCTTCCTGCCTTGGGCCACGCCGGGCCCGGAGGGCGCTGCTGTGCCCCAGGCCTTGGAGAAGAACAGGGCGGGGCCTGAGGCCGAGAAGAGGCTGCGCAGAGGGCCGGAGGAGGATGGTCCCTGGGGGGCCTGGGACCGCAGAGGGACTCGTAGCCAGGGCAGAGGTCGCAGGGCCCGGCCCACCTCGCCTGAGCTCGGTAAGGCCCCCGGAAGCACCCAGAGGTGCTGGGACCTGGGTGGGAGGGCGTTTGGGGAGAGGGAAGCTGCTAGGCAGCTGCGAGGGTCTGGTTTCCCAGGGCATGGGCCCAGGCACAAGTTTGAGCGTAGGGTTGTGAAGGTTGCTGTGATAAAACCTGCCTGCCGGTGAGGCGGTGTGCGTGTGTTTTTATGGAGACTGGGTGGAGCTGAGGTGTGAGCAAAACCCAGTGCCCAGATGCCTGCATTAGCCCCCCACCCCCACCCCGTCCAGTGGCCTTCTACTTTGCGGGGTGAAGGACAACCGTGATGGAAGGCACTGGTGGAGATTTAAGGAGCTCCTCCACACACCGCCCCTCTGTGAGGGAAGAGACGGAAGGCTGCCTCAATAAATAATTTGTTAGGTCCCTGTTACAGGCAAGCCTTGGACCAGCCAATTCTCATCTCTGCCTCCGCATCCTGGCACCATCCCCTGGCCCATCTGTGGCCGCTAAGATCTGACCCAGTCTCCTAGCCTCCTCGCTCCCATCCTTGAGTCCCTGCATCCTGAGCTGACTGTGGTCCCATGCCAGCCTGTGTGTGGTCTCCCAGTCTTCCTGTGGGTGATGGCCAATAGCCAGACTGCCCCTGCCCCTAACTCTGCTCATCCTGAACATCACCTTGGGGCCCACTCCTGGGCTGAGGCAGAGGAAGCCATCCTTCACTCGTTCCCACCCCCTGCTGCTCCCCTGCTCCCTGTGCCCAAGAGACCCTGTGCATGCCTTTTTCATTGCATTTACCACCCTGTACTTTTCTTCAGCAGAATTACTTTATTTTTCATTTAAGTATCACCGTCTCAAAATTTCTAGAGATGATTAGGCCCCTGTCCATTGTTCTACTGGCCATTGTTATTGCATATGCACAGCTGTGTCCCAGGCATTGTTAACTGGGTACTTAGAGGGTATTTTAACTTAATCTGTATGCCAGCTTTGCAAGATATTGGGTATATTTATCAGCTCCATCTTACAGATAACAAAACTGAGGCACAGAGAGGTTATCTAATTTGTCCAAGTTTATGCAGCTAGAGGACAGCATAATTGGGATCCTCACTGCTCTTTTGGCATTGCGCTTTATCTAGCTTATAGAACGGCAGAGTTAGAAAATACCCAGAGAGGTCTCTTTATGTGTCCAAGCGCCCTGTAAGCAGGAGCCACATCTTATTTCTTGTTATCTCCCTGGTGCCAAACAGAGCTTAGTATGCAGTCAGTACAGTGCTACTGTTTGATTAGTGGGCAGAATCAAAGCTGATTTTCATGATGCCTCTCAGAGGGCTGTAGGACCCACCTGCTACTCCTTCTTGTGAATAGGGTGGCATCATTAATATGACAGTACTCCATGTGTTGCCCTGTGACACCACTGTTATTGTTTTAGGTTTCTATTAGCTTGTGTTCTGTCTGTATGGAAGCCTGTAATATCCTGTGCCCCTCAGGGTCTGGTCTACCATCCCCAACCACTGATTGGTGTAAAGACACAGCACAGTTCCTGCCTTCCTCCAGAAACAACACTGTAGCTGAGGTTGAAGAGCAGCCAAACTAATATAGAGTCTGGGATGCCCCTTCCTGCTTGAGAACCCCACCTCTGCCTTCCCTTCTTCCCTGTCTCAGGACATTCAGGAAAGAGACCTTTTGCTCCCCAACCCCCACCTTCTAGGGTTTGGATTTCCAAGAAGAGGGGTTGCCATCACACCCTCTCCCCCTGAGTAATCTCCATAGGGACCACATCCCTTTACCCTGTCACCTGTGTCTCTGGCAGAGTCTTCGGACGACTCTTATGTGTCTGCTGGAGAAGAGCCCCTGGAGGCCCCCGTTTTTGAGATCCCCTTGCAAGATGCGGTGGTGGCCCCAGGGGCAGATGTGCTGCTCAAGTGTATCATCACCGCCAACCCCCCTCCCCAAGGTGAGCCCCAGAGTTGGGGGCTGGCTGAGGTTGAGACAGGGAGAGGTGGGGGAAGAGGGGAGATCATCTGCTCCACGGGGCTGGCCTGACTCCTGTGTGTGTGTGTGTGTGTGTGTGTGTGTGTGTGTGTGTGTGTGT